TAGATGGGTCGGGTGGACCAAGGGAGGGGGGGTTGCTTTATTTCTATTATCTTGTTTTTTTAATTTTTTTTACTTTTCTATTTATCGGTTTTCCTTTTTTATTTACTATTTATTTAGCTTTCAGAAAATATCTAAACAGCACCTAAATTAGTGTTTTAGTTTAACCCTCTGCAACAAATAGTTCTAGTCCCAAATAAATTAGTTTGATATTTTAGAAATTATAAGAGGCATTGATATAATTTTTTAAGTCACTGATTTACTTATTTTGAGCACTTAAACATTTTATGAAAAAAGGTTTCTCCGCTGATAGTACTTACAAATTATTTGGCACGGTCTGAACATTTTTTTTGACACTTGAAAACTTTTGTTTTTGACTTTGTTTTAAATTTGAATTCGAACCGTTTTGAATCTAAACGAGATTAGAAAAAGTAACAGTGGTGACGTGGCCTCATTAGCAAAGAATTACTGTAGCTTAATTATCGGGGCGTTACAAAGTAGGAGACGCAACGAGGCGGCCACGAGGCAGGAGGGAGCGCCCATGGGGTAGGGCGCGCCCCCTACCTCGTGGGCCCCTCGTGGGCCTCCTGACCTAGCTCCTTCGCCTATATATACTCTTATACCTTGAAAACATCTGGGGGAGCCACGAAACCACTTTTTCACCGCCGCAACCTTCTGTACCCATGAGATCCCATCTAAGGGCATTTTCCGGCGTCCTACCGGAGGGGGATTCGATCATGGAAGGCTTCTACATCAACACCATTGCCTCTCCGATGATGCGTGAGTAGTTTACCACAGACCTACGGGTCCATAGCTAGTAGCTAGATGGCTTCTTCTCTCTTTTTGATTCTCAATACCATGTTCTCCCCGATGTTCTTGGAGATCTATTTGATGTAATATTCTTTTGCAGTGTGTTTGTCAAGATCCGATGAATTGTGGATTTATGATCAGATTATCTATGAATATTATTTGGTTCTTCTCTGAATTCTTATATGTATGATTTGATATCTTTGCAAGTCTCTCGAATTATCAGTTTAGTTTGTCCTACTAGATTGATCTTTCTTGCAATGGGAGAAGTGGTTAGCTTTGGTTTCAATCTTGTGGTGTCCTTTCCCAATGATAGTAGGGGCAGCAAGGCACATATTGTATTGTTGCCATCGAGGATAAAAAGATGGGGTTTTCATCATATTGCTTGAGTTAATTCCTCTACATCATGTCATCTTACTTAATGTGTTACTCTGTTCTTTATGAACTTAATACTCTAGATGCAGGCAGGAGTCGGTCGATGTGTGGAGTAATAGTAGAAGATGCAGAATCGTTTCGGTCTACTTGACACGAACGTGATGCCTATGTTCATGATTATTGCCTTAGATATCGTCATAACTTTGCGCTTTTCTATCAATTGCTCGGCAGTAATTTGTTCACCCACCGTAATATTTGCTATCTTGAGAGAAGCCACTAGTGAAACCTATGGCCCCCAGGTCTCTTTTCCATTATATTGAATCTCTTTTACATCATACTAGTTTCCGATCTACTATTTTGCAATCTTTTACTTTCCGATCTATAAACCAAAAAATAATAATATTTACTTTACCGTTTATCTATCTCTATCCGATCTCACTTTTGCAAGTAACCGTGAAGGAATTGACAACCCCTTTATCGCGTTGGGTGCAAGTTGTTGATTGTTTGTGCAGGTACTCGGTGACTTGTGCGTTGTCTCCTACTGGATTGATACCTTGGTTCTCAAACTGAGGGAAATACTTACGCTACTTTTCTGCATCACCCTTTCCTCTTCAAGGGAAAACCAACGCAAGCTCAAGAGGTAGCAGATGCTCTTATACAATGTGGGTTGGTCCAAAAGTTGGAAACATAAATGGATGTTGACCCCTAACTTTGAAAGATATAAGCACGACAATATACTCATTTTTATAGTTCTTTTATCCTTAGTGAGTATAGGAAAGCCGCACTATTAAGAGGGGTCTCTCGATGAACTTAGAGTGAAGCCACAATTCTTTCATATAGCCAAATATCTACATCCTAATTTCTATGATAAGTGCCACTCAAATAGCCAAGTTATTGATCTTGTCACAATCAAAACGTGTTAGTTCATTGTGCCCCAAAAAGTCCTTGAAGGTTCCGGGGTAACCTTCTAGGCGAGCCAAAATCTGGTGCTACCCCTCGCGCTGCCTCAGGTGGACATGAGAAGCCTATGATGCCAGACGGAGTTAGCTCTGGAATCCGGAGCTCCTAGAGGTACTCCTGGAATCCGGCACACCCTCCGGCGCTACTTCCGGGTGACAACAGAGGCATCATCTGTCTTGTGGAGTCAGTGCCCTAGAGTCAGGCCCGTAATTTGGGATGCCCCGAAAGGTATCTCCAAAGTTTCCGGGTAACATTTTGGGTGGTGTTGAAAGGTATCCAACGGGGAAATTTCGTGTGGAACTATAAAAGGTCCACCTTCTTCCCCAAGGGTTATCCTTTCCCCAATTCAAGTTGAGCTTCCTTATCGTTCATACTCCATTTTCTCAAATATCAAAAGCCTCATAGCCTCCACGCCCCGCAATCAAATCATTCTACTCTTTTGAGGGAAAAGGGAGAGGAGCCTTCGATCTATATTTCCGTCGAAGGAATTTGAGTTCTCCTTTGAGTTCATTGAAGGTTTGTTACTCTTGGTGGTTGGAGACTTTTAGGCGGTAGGAGTCTCCGGGAAGGAATTAACTTGTGGTTTGCACTGAAAGTTTGTGAAGGTTTGGAAGCCGCCTCAATGTCTACCACTACTGGTTGTGAATCGCTTGGTGATATCTCTAGGAGAAGTTGGTGAGCCTTTCCGATGTTGGTGTGCCTTCGTGGTAACATCCACCCCTCCAGCGCCGACTAATTTCCCTCCAAGGAAGTAAATTGGGTTACATCTTCTTCTCCGTGGTTTCCACTTATTTTATACCCAACTCATTTACTTGTGGTTTACTTTGGTCACTCGACCTTGCAAACATCATATAGGTTGTATATGTCATCATAGCATTGTTTAGGTTCACACTTTATGTAGCACAAAAGCTAAACTTGCTCATAAGTGTAGTAAAAAATTAGTTGTCCCTATTCAACCCTCTCTAGGTCCATCTCGGTCAATTAGTTGTCCTATTCAAGCCTCTCCACGTCCATCTCGATCATTCCAATTGATATTAGAGCTTTGCAGTCTTTTACATAGCTTAACCGTCGTAGAGGCAGATGATCACCAAGGAAGTCTCAAGGCCCTCATAGAAGCTTCGAACCCCTTAGCTGAGGGACCCTCGAAAGAGGATAGGCTTTATACATCCACGGCGGGCCAATATGGTGATACATGAGATTGTGAGATTTGGTTTTGTTAACCATTCTGATGATGATGCTCTTGTTAATAGTGTTCTGCCTTGCGTGGTATACGCTTAATGGACGATTATGATATATGGGGTGTTTTTTTAAGTGACATTCTTGTTGTTTCTATGCGCACATGCAAATAACTCATCACATATATGTTCTATGGCTTGTGCTCTCTGCACACGTGCGCGTTAAATATGGATCGTATCGGGACTATTTTTGCAAAATGTGGTGAAACGTGACCACAGTTCTAAAATATCTTCCAAGTTATCACCGCTTCACAAATAGGGGTTCTATGATAGATGAGAATTAACTCAAAATTTTCTATACGGTGCAAAGAGAGCCTTGGCTCAGTGGTTGGGCATGCGTTGTGCAGCCTAGCGACCCGAATTCAATTCCTAAAATTGACAGGTGATGCATAGAGGTTTTCCCCCGTTTATTGAGGATCAAGCTTGGTGTGTGGTAGAACCATACATCAAGAAATATCTTGATACTCATTTAAAAAATTATGAGGACCATGTTTATCTTGGTACTCATACTAAAATGGCCGTATGTATCCCTAGTTGGTGCAGAGGACGGAAAGTGAAATTCTCTCCCATTTTTTCTTTTTTGGCCGCATGCATCATCATGATGCAGAGCCCGGAGGTACGCCTCCATTTCTAAAAAAAACTAGCCTTCGCTATCGAAGCAGTGACGCCGCTACAGTTCTGAAGATCTCATCATTGTGGAACACGAGAGTTCAACGCGTTGCGAATGGCCGTTTAAAACATAGTACGACGCATTCTGTGTTAAACGAGGCTGCTTGTACATGATTCTCTCTCTAATTTAACCCTTTATTGAAATACTACTATGCATGCGTGGGATCTTTCTGAGGGATGCTGTGCAATCTGTTTTGGGTCGGTGATCCGTTGCTGTCGAACATGCCCAGCCTGTGGCGTATGACGTCGATCACCCGTTGAACACATCTCACGCGTTCGTAGCTACTTACAATAATTCAGCGGCACAAGAAGAGAAACGTGCGGCGATGTACATTGTGTGCAATGTCAGAAGAGTGCAAATGCAGTGCACCGTGCCAATAGAACATGCGGTGCGACCGACCAACAAAATCAAATTATCGGCGACTTCTGTTGATCTCATCCCCGTCGAGACTCACTCGAGAGCGGTCCTTATTTACGGGGCTTTTCTTCTGGACTCCCAGAGCGGCCAAGGCGAAGAGGACATCAGAGCGCGTGCGCTGGCTAGGGAGAGGAGGGGCGGGGAAATGGTGAGCACGAGCACCCACACGTCGGTGCAGCGGCGGCGGAGGCAATGGACGCTGGCGCTGGTGACGGTGGCGTCGCTGCTGGAGCGCGCAGACGAGGCGCTACTGCCGGCCGTTTACAGGGAGGTGGGCGCCGAGCTGGGCGCGTCCCCGGCCGCGCTGGGCTCCCTCACGCTGTGCCGCGCGCTCGTCCAGGCCGTGTGCTACCCGCTCGCGGCGTGCGCCGCGGCGCGCCACGACCGCGCGCGCGTCGTGGCTGCGGGCGCCTTCCTCTGGGCCGTCCCCACCATGCTCGTCGGCGTCTCTGGCACTTTTGTCCAGGTCAGCAGCCTCCGCCTCATGGCATGCCTACTACTTGAATACATACTTGTGACGGTGCCAGCTAGAGCTAAAAATGGGACACACGACTACTTTGTACAGATGGCGATCGCGAGAGGGTTTAACGGCGTCGGCCTGGCGCTGGTGGTGCCGGCGATGAACTCCCTGGCGGCCGACTACAGCGACGACACGACGCGCGGCTCGGCGTTCGGGTGGCTGGGGATGGCGAGCCGCGTGGGCGCCATGATGGGGGGCACACTCGGTGTGCTGCTCGCGCCCACGACCTTCCTCGGCGTCCACGGCTGGCGCCTGGCATTCCACATCCTCGCGCTTCTCAGTTTCGCGCTCGCCGTCTCGACGTGGTTCCTCGCCTCGGACCCCCGTCCGCCCAGCGCGTCGGAGAAGAGCACCGCATCGGTGGCCAGGGAACTCCTCGGGGAGGCCAAGGACGTGGTGCGATTGCCGACGTTCCAGATCCTGGTGGCGCAGGGGGTAGCCGGGTCGGTGCCGTGGACGGCGCTCACCTTCGCCGCCATGTGGCTGGAGCTCGTGGGGTTCACGCACTGGGAGACCAGCGTCATCATCAACCTCAACCAGCTGACCGGGGCGCTCGGCTCGCTGTTCGCCGGGCTCATCGGGGACCCCATGGCCCGGCGGTTCCCGAACGCCGGCAGGGTCGCGCTGGCACAGGTGAGCACGGCGTCGACCGTCCCGGTGGCCGCCGTCCTGCTGCTGGCACTGCCCATAGACCCCTCGGCCGGGGCCGCGTACGCCGCCGCCTTCGCCGTCCTGGGCTTCGTCATGCCCTGGTGCCCCCCGGCCACCAACAAGTGAGTGATGCTGGTGGCAGCACTGTTGATTCTTTGCTCGCATGCACTGCTGCTCCGCTGTTTGCTAACTCGGGTCCCTTTGCAGCCCTATACTGGCGGAGATCGTGCCGCAGAAGGCGAGGACGACGGTGTACGCGCTGGACAGGTTCTTCGAGACGATCTTTTCGTCGTTCGCGCCGGCCGTCGTGGGCATCCTGGCGGAGCGGGTCTTCGGATACAAGCCGGCGTCCAGCGCCACCGGTATGGCTGAACGGGAGAACGCCGCCGCGCTGGCGAAGGCTGTCTTCGCGGAGATTGCCGTGCCGATGGCCATCTGCTGCAGCATCTACTCCTTGCTCTACTGCACGTACCCAGCGGACAGAGAGCGCGCGCAGAAGGCGGCTCTGGTTGCGCCAGAAGATCAGGACTGTGAAAATGCTAATTCTAGTACTGCTACTGGGGTAGATGGCTTAAATCAGGCATTGCTAGCCAGAAATGACTAGCAACATATCGAGGACAGACTTGGCTACATGGACAAAAATGTGTATATGTTTTTGTAGGCCCACTCAGGAAGGCAATTTACAGGCTTTACAGCCATATGTTCAAGACAAGATCTCGGATGCAATTCTTAATCCTCTAAACTAAAAATATAAATATGTACCAGATAATATATAGCCTCCCTGATTTCCAGTATCGGAGACGGCAATACAAGTTAGATGAGCAGAAAATATTTTACACAAAAAAAAAATCTGTTAGATGGGACTAAACAAACACACAAGTTAACTAGGCCAAGGAGCTACGGCAGACAGGACCAAATAATTCAAAATTCTTTAAACCGAACAACTTTCTATAAACCAAGATTCAACATGCTGTCACAAATTATTCCCTTTATAAACCAATTACAGAGAAAAAAGAAGATGAAATGAAAAATAAGAGCAACCATTCATCAAACCACTAAATTCTTTCCAGTGATTACCCTGCACAAAGTAAACAATTATGTTAGAAAACAGGTGTTTCAATTATAATCTATAAAGTGAACACATGTTAGAAAAGAGAGTAATCAATATATAAATCTAAGGAGCATAATTAACAGGGGTCCCTAATAGGCTACGGCTAGACTAGCTTGAAGAGTATGTGAAGTTGATAAAAGTTGCTGCAAGAGCTACCAAGTGAAAATAAATAGGATCAATACAACAAATAAATCAATGCATCAAAACTTCAAAAGGAAAGGGAAAGCGAGATGTTGCTAAGCTGACAAAATCTATTATTGTCCAAAAGAAACACTACCATGAATACAACAAAGTTGACTACGAAATGATGCTTACCTACTTACAAATCCAAGAAGCCTTCACATCTGTCCACTAAATCCGAACATGTCAGGGATGTCTCCACTGCTTCCAATGCTGTGACTCAAGCTGTTAGTTGGAGATTCAATCTCATCCACTGCAAAGCGGTTCGGGATGCAAGTACCCTTCCCAACAAATCCAAGATTTTTTCCTCGTCCTTGATCTGGCAATTTCCCCAGGGCTGCATTTGAACTCTGAAAGCTAGACGAACTGGACACTGGCTGACTTGGCCCAACAGTATTTCTATAGCCATCCATATTTTGAAAAGAAGACCAGCCACCTGTGACATCATTTGGACTCTGCAGAAAACCGAACTGTGCATTTTTTGACTGAGAAGACAGCAAGCCGGAATCGATATGGTTGGCATAAGCATAGCTTTGGTTAAGAGAGTCAGTGCTCTCAGTCTTTAGAACACCGGGTGGTTTAGAGCCCACTCCCATTGGATTCTGATTAACCAGATATGGAGTATTGCCAGTTTGAAAGCTACTTATTCCTTGTGATGACATCACATTTGAGTTTCTATTCATGAGACCAGGAAGATTTCCTCCATGGCTACTAATGAAAGGCTGACTGGTTGAAGCTTGGTTAATCAGATCAATCCCACCTAACAGACTGTTTGATGATTGAGAAGTTGGGAGAACAAGTTCAGGCTTCATGGATGGAGGAATGCCTGTTAGAAAACCTGACGATTGAGAAGGTATAATCAAGGAATTTTGATTAGGAGAGAGACCCTCGCTAGCTGGGAAAGTATTTAATGACTGAGATGGCATAACTATGCCGGAAGGTTTGACATCTAGAGTGTGAAGGGTTCCCGACAGCATGGTATCTGGCTGCTGTTGCAATTCGTGCAAGACCATATTGCTATTCTGAGAATTATTCACATTACCCAGTGCGCTCATTGAATCTGACATACCAAGTTTGTTATTGGGCCAAGCTGAAAAAGAAGGCATTCTTCCAACTGCAGAGCTGTTTTGGGGTAATGCCGCATATGAATTATTCTGGACCTTGTATATCGGCTGCCCAAATGCTATTTGCTCTCCATGAGGCTTATTTCCTTTGACTGCAGCAAGTCGTAAAGATGACTGGTCCCTTCCAGGCAACACCAGGCTGTTTGTAGGTCGTCCTAGGAGCTCATCCTGCAAAGCTGCCAGGGCTTGAGGAGGGATTTGACCTGAAGCAGCCAAAGCTTGGAAATCAAGTCCTCCCAAGGAGGCCACTTGAGCACTAGAAGCAGGCACACCATATGGATTGGTCATTCCTGCATGATGCTGAGCTATCCTTTTCAGATACAATCTGAATTTCTGCAAATAGAAAAAAATGCATTCCTTTCAGCACGATTATCATGTATAACTGACATGAAGTAACCGCAAGAAATCAACTCAGCATACTGTTTCGCAAAAAACAAATTACAACTGCTATTCCCTCGCAGCTGACGCGGTCTTCAAGATGTAACTTTGACCACTGATTTATAATACAGCATATGTACAAGACTTACAAACATAATATTCAACAAATATTTTTTGAGACAAATCTAGAAATATGATTTTTCAATTTTTCAAACAAAATAATTAAAATGATATTTGTAGTCAGGTTTAAAAATATGACTGAAGGCATGTCCAAAAACGTCACTTATGTGTGTTACGGAAGGAGTATATGATGAATCTGGAGGTAATAAGGATAGTTTTGGGCTCAGAAGACATCAGGCAATATAACCTGTTGGAACTAATGGAATGCACAACGGAGATAACCAGCATGTCAGCATCAATCCACTAAAATAGGATACTGAGGTGTAAAATGTAATCAATTACTAACATCCAGGAGCGTAGAAACCAGTAAAATAGAGAAGTCACCAGTAAACATAAGTTCAATACATCATCTCAAAAGGATACTAAAAAGGTTGAAGACAATAATCACACCTGCAAATGGCTGGCGACATTTTCCCTAGTTAAACCAGGGACATTCATCAACTCCAAAATTTTCTTGGGAACAGCTTCTGTAGAAATATTAAAAATAAAATGAGACACAAAAGTGAAGAGAATTGGCATACTTCTAAATTATAGGTGTTCAAGAGTAACCACACTTGCTTGATAAAACTAATATAGAAAGGACTTTTATCCTACTTACAGTAATGTACTAATAAACACCAAAGTTGATAAAATAAGTACTAAAGCAGGTAACAAAAGCTTACTGTCTATTCCGAGGTGATTAACTGCATTTACAAATTGTTGATGGAGCTCGACTGACCAAACAACTCTTGGTTTCTTCGAATTATTAGAAGGATCGCCACTTTCCAATTCACTGTCATCCTCTTCTTTATCCCGTTTCTTTTTCTGAGACTTCCAGCTATCCTCAGCTCCATCATTTGCAGAGGAAGCATACTCATTATCATTATTGGTTAGTCTGTTCCGATCTGTATCATCTAAGCTACCTGAATGCTCATGTTCCTTGTTTCCACCAAACTTTTTCCTCACAACATGTTGCCAGATGTTTTTTAACTCTTCCATCCTGACAGGTTTAATCAAATAATCACATGCTCCATGTTTTATTCCTTTCATCACTAGATCTGTCCTTGAATCAGCAGACATCACTGAAATGTCACCAACAAGCTTTAGTATCGCATCCCATTCACAAGTGAACATACTGAATAGGAGATAGTAGAATCTTTTTCTCGAACGCAGGAGATAGTAGAATTTACTTACTAATAACTGGAAGATCCATCTCAAGGCCTACAAGTTCAAGTAACCTGAATCCATTCATATCAGGCATGTGAACATCACTAATTATAACATCAAAAGCACCCCTGTTCTCTCGCAGCATAGCTAATGCTCTCGTGGCCTGAGAACAAGTTGTAGCTGCACAAAAAAAAGGATCATATAATGGAGCAGAAAACAATACAGTAACATATATTGGATAGAGCAACATACACTGAATGGCAGTGACAGTATAATGCGTCTACCGAATGAACAAGTCATGTATATCCAGACAGAACGTTTCAAAATGTTTGTGGGTGTACAAAATGTTTTGAGCTGTCCTGTTCTATATTTGGGAGCTCTCGGGGAAGAGCGTCCTCCAGGCAGCCAACCATAGGGTGCTTCTACCACATGACGCATGTCTTGTCCTGAGACATTAGGAGATTCATTTTCTGGTTCCCGAGTGTTTTTATACTGGTCTTTCTTTTGTATCTGCTTACTTCAGGTTTTGTCTTACATGGAACATGGTGGATATTTTTTGTGCAGTTATTACCCAAAGTAAACCTTGCCAAATAAAAGCATCACAGACGCTACAAGCTCCGTGGAGTCACGGGCCTTTGGCCTTTCAACTTTTCAATAGATATTGAAAGGGGGGCATAGGTTAGAGAACTCATTCATCAAAGACGACATGAGGTGTAATGCTCGCTACCAACTGCACTAAATCACCATGCATTCAGCGCAGAAGGCAGGACCACCGATTTCACTGAAGTAAGTACAAGTGGGTCTATATTTGAAGATCTTGCTGCAGAAAATATAATGAGGCAAATGGATCATTATTTGACGTGCGATTGAAAAGCAACAACAAAATTTATTAGAGAACTAAAAACATATACCCATGCACCCAGAAGAGAAAGGAAATAGTGCAAGCCATGCAAGCATGGCTCCCATCATGGAAAAACCATGCACACCTTGTCCGATTGCAACACGAGCGAGCAGATGGTGGTGCCACGTGTCAAGCCACCAAGGATGCTGAACCGGCTTTCGAAACGGTACCAACTACTTAGCATTTACATTTATATTTATAGTAGGAAACATCATTCAATTGTAGCAACATTGGATAAGACAATCAAATCCAACACCTTGTTTAACTGCGACACAAGCAAGCACATGGCGTCGCGACGTGTGTCAAGAATGCTGGACTGACCTTTGGAAAGGGTAAGCGGAAAAATCATTCAACTGGAGCAACATCAGATAAGACAATCAAGTCCAGCAGCCTCTGGTGCTAATTTTCTCAAACATTATGTCCAGCAAATGGAGACAGACATGTCCCCTCCCCACATATTAGATTTGTACCACACTAGCATTCATAGCACACTTACTGTGGTTCTGGGGGTACAACCTCCACAGGTTGTAACCTTCAAGCTTCCTAGGGCAAAAGCTACCCATCCACATGAATGCCTAGTAAGT